AAAAGGGCTACTACCAACATGGGATTCAGAAAAAAGGGCTACTACCAACATGAGATTCAGAAGAGGGCTACTACCAACGTGGGATTCAGAAGAAGGCTACTACTAAGTGTGTGGGATTCAGAAGAGGACTACTACCAACGTGGGATTCAGAAGAGGGCTATTACCAACGTGGGATTCAGAAGAGGGCTATTACCAACATGGGATTCAGAAGAGGGCTATTACCAACGTGGGATTCAGAAGAGGACTACTACCAACGTGGGATTCAGTAGAGGACTGCTATTACCAACGTGGAATTTGGTGAGATTTAAAAAAGTGACAGTGTTAGAAGAACTGCAACATTTTGTGAAGATGTAAAAAAAAGTATCGGTGTCGAATACATTACATATATATAGCACATTCATGCACTGTTTGATTATTATATACACACACAACAAAATAGTAAAGTTATAAACAAAAAGTTATTAATATCACAGTTATAAACAAAAAAGAAATTAATTTTTTACAGTTTAGGAATGCAAGCAACTACGAAATAGTGTCATACACCAATTATAAATTGTCATTATTTTTAGCTAAAATATTGCTTGATCAGATAATAATAATTTGATCATGCGATCATATGTATTATATATTGAAAAAAGTATAAGATTTAAGCTATTTAAGAAGTAACTATGTGATTATGTGAAAATAGTATTAAAGTAACAATCGATATAATAATATGAAGATTTTCATATATTTTATATATTTAATAGATAGTTAAATATCATGTAAGAAAATGCAACTTTTGTCTGTGATAATAAAATTTAAGAAGATAAGAATTCATGATAGTAATAATTAAAAGTGAAATAAAATTGCATTAATAACACTAAAATAAGCATTTTGAGCAATAATATTTATTTTTAAACTTAAAATATTTTTAATTTATGTACTGTAAATATTAAGCAGAAATAAAATTACCGAACTGAATATTTTGCTCGATTTGATTGTTTATTAACATTTATTATATTAATAAAATCGAATGTGCATTAGAGTTTTAATCTCTTTACATCTTCTGGACGAAAATCTATTCTCATGGAAGCGATACGTCGAACTTCAGCGGGTGTTAATCTCCATGCTATTGCATCTGCACCACAATAATCTGCCAATTCTTCTATTTTTTCAACGCTTAATATGGTAGCTATTTGCGTTAATCGTGCAAATTTATCACGTACAGACCACGAAGTAACAGCGGCTAAATAACTTGCTAATGATCTAATTTCTTTGTCAAGTATAAGACCTCCAGCCTAAAAAATTATTAATTATCAGGAAAGTAAATGATAAAATGAAATTATAAAATATACATACTCTATTAAAAGTAGATTTTAATACAACTTTTTCTAAACGGGCTGTTACTTCAGCAGTAAGAAGACCAATTAAAGCATCATAATTAGATGTTGTTAAAGTTCCTTTAAAATTTTGAAGTAAACCTTCTAAATTCATAATTAAAGTTTGCACGAAAGGTTCTTCTGTTTCATATCTTAATAAGTCGTCCTATGAATATTAATAAATCATTATGAGTTTTTCTAATCTTACATCCAACTGTGCACTTTTACCTCATTTATATGATGATCCACTGACAAAAATGCATCGACCCAAGGTGTGACTCTCGGTTTGACAGCACTTACTCGTAATTGTTCTAAACCATAATCATTAACAGCTCGTAAAATCGACATAACACCTTTTAACCCAGATAAACAACTGTCGATTTTACCTCTTTCTTTATTTTGCATATTGGGAAATGTCGCATCTATTTCACTACTAAGACTTTTACACAGTGTTTCAACATATTCAATACTGACATCGGTATTATTTAAATAAGCCTATATCAAAAATAGATAAAACACTAATTAATATATGAAGTATCTAAGATTTGTAAAATATAAGATATTAAGACCGGTGATATGTATTACTAAGAACATTAGACGAGCGAGTTCCGTATCTGAAGTTTGTAGACGACCATGTTGAATACTTGTTTGAAGAGCACTATAAGCTTGTGCTAAATCTAAATATCCTGCTGGATAGCCTTGCCGCAGTCGATTTCGTAATCTGTTTGCAAATTCTCCTTCTAATATCCCACAAGCCATATTAACTACAGCACAGACACCATCTATGCTCCAACTTGACATAGACCGCCTGTATATAAAGATTTTATATTTTACTTATATTTGAAATAGATTATAAATTATAAATTAAAAAAATTTTTCAATACCTAATACATTTCTGTACTATGAAGAAAACATCATCAACCATACTGGATGTTTGTTGATCTTGATCCAACGTATCTATTCCTAGTGCTTTATTTACACTTTCTTCAAGGAAATATCTTTCTAAAGCAAGATAAGCACCTAAAAGTTCTTGCATACCGTGTGCTAAATCAGAATTGTTGATCATATTTTCAAATTCATTTATTAAATCTTTGTATTGAGCTTCATTTGTTACACTAATTTCTATATCATTCTGTAATAAAAATAATACAAATTTATAAAATTTGAGTGTTTATAAATTATATAAAAGTACATATTTAGAACATGTTCAACTAACTTTAACTCTTCTTTTTAAGAATCTTATGTATAATTCTGCACGGGAATGCATTATAGTAATTTCTCCCAATAACAAATCAAATTCTTTAGGATCTGCTCTTTCAGAACTTGGTTTTCGAACATAATCATTTACAATTTGTACTTTTTTAGATATACATCGATGTTTCATAAATTCTGCAATAATTTTTTTAACTTGCCTGCTCAAAATAATAAAATTTTAAAACTTTACATTATTTTTAAAAGAACATATAATTTCTTTACATGTACTGTGAATATGTAGTGCTATACCTGTCACATTCCTTTTGCAAAATAGAAATTGTCATTAATAGTCTTCCAGGACCATAATATGTTTCAATTATTGGCTGGTGTATTTCTACGATACGAGCAATTCCTTCAAATAGTAATGTCATAGTATCAGAAAAAATAACTGATGCTCTTTTATCATTACTTTTTATTTCTAAAGCTGCTTTTAAATTTTTTTGAGCTGTTTCTTGCAGCTAATGTTAAAAACACACAGTTATATAAAATATATAATGTTTAAAAAAATTATATAATTTATTACCTTTGTGCATAAGTAACTACAAAATTTTTTAAGTCCTTCAATATGCATCCCTAATAAAGGAAATATTTTGAAAAATCTTTCAACCGAAGCAAGATCCTCTGATTTTACTGCTTCGTCAAATTTATGTGTAACCACAGTTCTGAGTTGTAATGCAGCTTGTTGCAATGTAATTAAAGAAGAACTGACATTAGTGTGATCCATTAAAATATCTTCAGCAGTTCTCTCCAATAATTGTTGATCCATTGATAAATAACGATGAACATGAGCTGCTCCTTGTTCATAATCTTCATTACATAATGCCATAGCTACTCCTTCGCTACATAGTTGCAAATCAAGAATATCATTAACACGTCTCTGACATTCGTATACTCTGCTCTATAATAAAATATAACAAATAATTAAACGATATATTATATAATAAGCAATAGAAAAAATTATCATCAGTACTAGTTAAATAGTAACTATTATAATAGTAATAATTAATATTATAGTTCAACTTACCCTTGCTAAATCCAATTGTCTTACTTTGGCACTTACATTTTCTGCTAGTTCATTAGTATGTCTAATCATATTAGAAAACTTTTCTCCTTCTGTTCTTATCACAACAACATTAGGTAATACCTTGCTTATACTTTGCAGTTTTGCTTCTACATGACATTGTCTTGAAAGTATATTTTTAAAATTTTTTTCTATCTTAATCTGGAATCAGGTAATTACATCTATATAATTTGTCTTTTAAAAATTCAAAACAAATAAAATAAATTTAAAAAGAAAATAAAAACAAAACCTCATCTTCTGATAATCTGTCAAGTATTTCTGTCAAATTGTCTTGATTTGGAGATAAATCCATCATACATGTTATATTGGTACAGATCACACTGTAATAAATTTATTAAATATTTTATCAAATTTACATATATTACACCTGAAACAATTTCAAATTTAACAATTTTACTGAAGTCGTGAAATTTATTATATTAGATGATTATAAAAGAAAAACAATTTAATAGTATATACATGGCTAAAAATTTATAGGCTATTGTAGTCAATAAACTATATTTTATAAGCTATGTGATGAATGCTTGCAAAATTCAATAATGGCGGATACTTATTTTGTAATCTAACAATTTCTATAGGATAGATTAATAGAAATAGGTACATACTTTTAATAGATATTTATTATTTTATAGTTTTTAAGTTATTTACTCATAAATATTTATTTTATTGTTCCAACGATACAATAAAATGTTGATGATCCTCCAATCAGAAAATTGTATCTTTATAATTGATATAATTTTGAAAGAATTTCATTAGATATTCATTAACTTTGACTTTATATTTTTATAATACGTATATATTGCAAAGTGTACGAATAAAAATTGAGATCAATCGTATTCATGAATATTAGTGTAAATGAAAATTCACCAATGACAACGCCTTTAAGGTGTTCTACACATGCACCGAAACATCCCACGCATCGCGCGTGGTTTCTGAAGGAAGTTGAGTTCTTTCCGCGCATCTTACGCGTTTTCCTGAAGGAAAATGGCTACCAGCTGTCATTTAATCGAAAAGTGTAACTTGTAAAGTGACATAGAATTCCGTGAGAAATTGTTTAACGTGTACAAGATTGTCTGGCGCGATGCAATTACATAACGTTGAAATCATTTAGTTGATCGACGCCACTTTTCATCTACATGCGGAACCCGTGAAACCTTCTACAGTGCCATGAAATTTTTTTCCACTTTACTGTTTACAGTTTTTATTTTTTACGAAACGTACCAGGACTAACAAGTCAACGCTACTTCCACGTTTTTTAAATACTTCAATCGTTTCAGTAATCATTTTACAATCATTACTGACAATTCAATCGTGCTGCGTATTAAAGACCACAAATTTTTTCACCTCATTCACGTTATTATTTTTTGAAGCACGTTAACTGCAAACACGGTAAACCATTGTTTAAGAATATTAAATGGAGAAATTACAATATGTGTGATTTGTTTCTTCCTTTCCTTTTCTTTTTTTTTTTTTTTTTTTTTTTTTTGAATTTTATATAGATATTAATTTTTACGATTGTACATTTAAGTTAATAAAATTGTCAGTATTTATTTGAATAATATTTTTGTATTATTTCAGAAAAGCAGGATGGGTTCGAGTCAACAATTTTCTCTTAGGTGGAATAATTACTTAAAACATATTACTTGTGCTTTTGACACATTAAGAACAGAAGAAGATCTTGTTGATGTGACTTTAAGTTGCGAAGGAAAAAGGATAAGAGCACACAAAATGTTGTTGTCCGCATGTAGTACATATTTTAGAGATTTATTTAAGGTAAAGTGAAATAGAAAATTTGATAATCAATGACTATTATCATATATTATAAATAATATCTATTTTATTATAGGAAAATCCATGTCAGCATCCTGTTATAATATTTCGTAATGTAAAATTTGATGATTTGGCTGCATTAGTAGATTTTATGTATCAGGGTGAAGTAAACGTGGTTCAGGAGCAGTTAGCCAGTTTTTTAACGACTGCTGAACTACTTGCTGTTCAGGGTCTTACCGATGGTACAGGAAAAGATAATGATAGTTTAGTAGAGGTATGTTTTTCAAAGTTGTTAAATACAATTAAATATTTTATGCATATTAAAGTAATGTATTTCCATCGTTTCGAACTATGTTTCAGGATGACATAGAAATTCCTAATGAACCTGAAATTCAACTTCAAAATGCTTCTAGCAAAACAGCAACAGACAAGAGAAATAAGTCACCTTCATCTCCAATGCCTTATCACGCTGTCGATTTACAACCTGATGCACCGCCAAGTAAACGACGAAAATGTAGAGAAAACGCAAATACAAATGCGGATAAGACTATAAGTAATGCTTTGTCTGCAAAAGATTCTGAAAACAAAACTTCAGAAAATCAATCAACGACTGGCTCGGATCCTGTTGAAATAATTCCATTAATGCCAAATTTAAAGTTGGAAATGCCTGAATATCTAGTACAAGATGGAAGTAGCTGTAGTTACGAAGAACAAAGTTTAGGAGACAGTTCACTAAATAAAATTGGTATAGAAGATACATCATCCAATACTCCTGATCATGATCAGAAGCCTGATATCACTCAAACATTCTACTCAAGTAATCAGTCTACTTCAGATAGCTTGGATCTCAAACATCAAACAACTGATGTTGGTAAGACTTATTATTTTATCTTATTCCGAAAGCATAGAAGGATGTATTGCTATAATTCTGTTTGTTAATTAGGACACTTGCTTTCGAAACCTAGTACTTCTGGAGAAAGATTAACACAAGAAGCAGTACAGGGTAAGTGTTTTTTTAATCGATATTTATTTTATCTTATTATAATACATAGTTACTGTTGTGCCATATCTTTTAATTTTTGAAAATAAATTTTAATAATTATCAAAATCGTATTAAGATGTTATTGTCAATAAAATGTATACAGCAGAATAGAATTTGTAACTTGAAATATTTTGCAAGTGCAAAGAAATTTGGGTTGAATGTGAGAAATTAATGTAAATAATTAAGAGAAATGGCATTGCAGACTAGTTTAAAATTTTGTATCCATATGTTGTTAATGCTAATGATTTCTAATTTTTTAAAATGTTACTTAATTATCGATAGGTAATGCATTTTATATTTATAAACATGAAAAAGTAAATTATCAAATTGCTTAATATAATATATATGGTCATTTATTTATTTATTACAAAACTGCTTGAAATATGGGTACAAAATGGTTTTTACGCATATTCTTACATATAACTTCCATTTACTTTAAATTATTATTCGGAATTTGATGATAAAATTACGCAGACTAAGAGAAAGGGGATTAATTTTATTATATAGTTAATTTGAAGGAAAGATGCGTGAAATTCTTATGGTATAAATTGTATAAAAATTCAGTAGAGTATACAGCTTTATATTATTCTTACACATGAGAAATTTATTTACAAAACACTGGTAAAGTTAAAGACGTTAATAGTGGTTGCAGCAAAGATTTCAATACGAAATGAATAGATTTCGAATAAAAAGCTCATAGATTCGATTAGTTATTAGTTATAGATTCGACTATACAAGAAAACAAGAAATTAAACGAATTTATAAAAAGAAAGTTTATTTGAATAAATTGAAGATACTATGTTTTGTCAAATATTAGATTTTACGTTCAAAGTACTTTTTATCTGTTTTATATTAAATTTATTACTTTTATGAAAATGCCAGGATCGGGTTAACTGGGCGATCGTGTAGTAAAATATTAATGCAAATTATTGGAATTATTAAAATGAAAACTGCATTCTCTATTGTGAAAAGATTTTACTTTATTTCCATTAATCATTTAACTGTACTATAATATCAAATGTGCATGGTTTTTGGATGTAAATGTATGGCATAGGCACTCGGGTGTAGGTTGAACTGTAGATATTAGTAAGCATTGCCAAGTGCTGTATGTGTGCCGACAATCATCAACATTCCCTTAATAACTCGTATAAAACCACCACTACGTTCCTTTCGAGCACTAACTATAAGCATATTTCTGTGTATACACTAAAATATCTTTCAACTGGTATGAGGCAACTTCTTTGAATCTGTAGAACTTTACGCAGGTCACGCACGCACACGTGTGGTGCAAATACATATCTTACTTCACTTGCATACAAAGTTAATCTTAAATTCATACATTTCATTTCGTTGTCCGTCGCTCATGTAAATATAATAAAAGTATGGATAAAAATTTGGAAGAAAGAGGCGTTTGGAGAATGGATTCATTAGAATCAGCTGTTTCAGAATTGAAATTCAAATTGACAATTGAAATTCACTTACCCCGCCCTTTTTCATGTGATTTCTGAAATTTAATTCCACTGCCATTTAAGATTAACTTGCAAGTTTGTATACATTTTTTTTCTTTATACAAAAGGAAACTTCGCAGCCTTGTGAAACAACTAATTTGAAGTAGCAATGGTGGTGGTGCTGGCGATAGTGGCATGTAAATGATCCTCCTTCGTATCCGAACATCTTATTGTATACTCATTCCTTCTATTTATATAATTATATCGTAAATCTGAAAAGTCAATGTCGGTGCGTGGGTATATCCGATATGTTCAAATCGAATCGATAAGCCTTTGAAAACAAATGGATAGGAAATGGGAACGTTACGTTTGTTTCATCGAACGTTCGAATTATGCTTTCAGTCAATTTCACTTACGTCAGAACGTAAAAATCAACCATCACGACTTTTTCAAACTCGATTTGTTCCGCAAAGAATTTTTTCATACGACCCGATCCGAAATACCGTTTCTCGGCCTATCGAAAAGGCAATTTCGCCAGGTAGGTAAGCAGAGACTCTTTACTCTTAATCATTTGATCGTTGAAGCAGGAGCATGAATCATTCGAATACGCGCGAATTTAATAAAGTTATACCTTTGCGTGCGGTGATAGGCGTAGAAACAGAATTTCTAGAGAAGCACTTTGTACTGAAAATTCCGTTCGGGGACTGTAAATCGAAGAAAGAACAATAGAATCGTGTACAGAACTCATGTAACGTTTCAGGCGTGACATAACCATGTAAATAACAATTCAAACGAAAATAGGAATTGATGTTTGTACGTTATTAGCCCTCTTTCTGCCACCGTGGACGAGATGTTTCGCCACAGCTGTCGTCGGTTGTGCAATGTCACCGACGAGATATCTCGCTTCATAACACCGCTTCTACAACTCCACTTCGTCGGTGGTATTGCACGACCACGTACATAGTTGCGTAGACGAGATATCTCGTCCACGGTTAGCGAGAGGGTTAATGCGCGAAAGAGCGACCGAAAGAGCTACTAGTGCTCTATATTACAATTACGAGTGTTTTGTGTGTGTGTGCGAACATTACTCTCCATTGCTTGCGCCGTACGCGCTAAGCGTTTTCTAGCTGAAGCGTGAAGCGATATAAATTGTAATCGTATGCCGACTTATCGTTCTCCAGAAAAAATTGTCGATGTGCCGGATCGAAGAGTTATTTACCAAGATGACTTGACGAATCGTCGATCGATCAGTCTTCGAACTCGCAGTTTTTTCGATTACCAAAGCGCAAAACACGATCGTTTATGTCGAGCAATGTTAACACATTGTTCCGTAATTGTAAAAAAAAAAAAAAAAAGAAAAATCACCAGGCAGGTTTCAACTTGATACTTTCGAATCGTTAACGACATCGTCGTTTCACTCGTTCGTACAAAGAACAAGTATTGGAGCCCCGAGAGTAAACGTGCTCCCGAGGACGGGGAGTAGGAAGAATGCATATTTCCGAACGATGATCAGCGAAGGCACGTGTCGAAGTTAAAAATGAAAAAAAAAGTATAGAAGTAAGGAACAAAAGTCAATAAAATAAAAAGATGCATTAAAAGGAAATACGAACGAACGAACGAACGGCTTTTTCGATGATCAAAGATAAAGAAAGGAACGATTCATGAAGGACTTGATTCACGAATCGAAAGGAGAAGCATTCGCGACGTACGTACGCTAGAATACGTATGTAAAATGTATTGAACGCACATACGATACGTGACACAGTTGGCAGACTGTGTTGCAAACGCAGGGAAACGAGAGAAGGGTAACTGGGGATGGGTGGTAGAAAGGAGAAAGTGGTTAAAGCAAAATGATATTAAAATGATTGTGTTGCGAGATAGCAAATGCAGTCGAGGAGTTATCGAGAAGAGAAAGAGAGAAAACGAGAAAGAGAAAAAAAAAAAAAATAAAAAAACAACCGGCGATCGAGATATTCGGCTAGCACATGGCAATGCTACATTTTCACCTAAGTACACGCATACACATACGAAAATATATCGTTGGTATTGGTATCGCTGATACTCTCTAGACTGGCTTTCACGGCTACGGGATTGGTTGGTGCTGGGATTGGTCGTTAAAGAAATTTGTTTACTAATGGTTGCCTGCATGTGCACATATACTTAAGAATTGACTAACCGAAGTGTTTGGCCAATGTGTTTTCTTCAGGAGGGATTACGTACGTATCTGGTCAGCCGCATAGCCTCAGCAAAGCAAACGGCCACGGAAAAGTATGTGTACACTGCAAGCAGCGCGGAATGGTCACATCACGTGGAAAGCTCAGGCAGACGCGCTTCAAATGTTGGCCCTGCAATGCCTGTTTGTGCCGCTGGCCATGTTTCGTCGATTTTCACAAAATGCGCGCCATCCCGCACATCCCGCCCCCATAGCACCAACTCGCCCCCTCCGACCACCCTGAGTTAATTTCATTATTCGACTAATCACATCTCCCCTGTGCTTTTCGATTTTCTCTGTGCGTTACATCTACCACAAGGGAAAACCACCCGTTGAATTGAATCATGAGAAACAACAGGGGAGAGAACAAAAGAAGAAAAGGAGAGGGGGGGAGAAAGAGAGAGAGAGAGAGAGAGAGAGAGAGAG